AAGCTGGACAAAAGTGCAGTTCTTAAAGCATTATGTTCAGGCTTTGAGGAGACTACTGAGCCAACTGTGTGCTTGAGTAAAGGTTGCCGAACTCTATGCCTTTTGATAATTTACTGTTTTTGACTTCTGGTTTGTCATCTATATTTTTCTATAAAAATGCCTAGGTGTCTAATGGTTATCGTTATCTGTTACTGGTTATGCAGACATTGAAACAAATGAATGTTTGGAAAATAATGGCGGATGCTGGCAAGATAACGCTACCAACATTTCTGCATGCAGGGTATTTGTTGTGAATATTCTTATGTACATGCCGTAGAAATTACCATTCTTCTTATGATTTTGTTTTCCATTTGTTCACAGGACACATTTCGTGGAAGAATATGCCAATGCCCTGTTGTGCGAGGTGTGAAGTTTGTTGGTGATGGGTATACCCACTGTGAAGGTAATCACAAATTATGGGAATCGGAAACTTCTCATTTGGTGGGTAAAACTAAAAGGTTTTGGCATGTAATAAGAAAGTGTTTCGCATTTTGACTTTTATATCCTTAAGCCATTTCAACTTCTTATACGACTAAACCGAAGGAAAATTTGGATATTGCATTCAGGAATGCAACCGGGCCAGATGTGGATTGGATATGATACTGATCATAGCCTTATCCACTTACTAATCATGGATATGGTATAGATACAATAATATCTCAATAAGGGAAACTCATATCCATATGTGGCAAAATCGAATATGGATACAGATCATATAAATGAAAAAATATATATGAATACAAAATGGATGTGAGCAAGACATGTCATGCAGTATACGAGATGTTTAAATATTGAAGTTCTCAAATGAGAGCCCATTAATATGTTCAACATATTAATGGATGTAAGCAAGACATGTCATGCAGTATACGAGATGTTTAAATTTTAAAGTTCTCAAATGAGAGCCCATTAATATGTTCAACATATATGAAAAATTAAGATTAGATATCTGATCAAGAAAAATGATCTCAAATCAGTTAACCTAAGGGTCAAAATAATTTTCAACTTTATGATCGATGCATGTATTCGGATATCAGGATACAACTATTTAACTATTATTTAAAGAACATACAAAAAATAAGATTTTATTTGTCCTGCAGCTTCGGGATCTGGTCGTTGTGAAATTAACAACGGTGGCTGCTGGAAGCAGACTAAACATCACAGGACATACAGTGCCTGTGTAAGTGTTTGCTTGCAATTTTGCATGAGATCAGCTTCGTTATGATTTTTGTTCTTGTGGTATGAGTTTTACACAGTACAATATTTCATTTCGCAGGATGATGATTCGAAGGGGTGCAAATGCCCGCTAGGTTTTAAAGGTGATGGGGTCAACTCCTGTGAAGGTAATGTCTGAAAACAGCACCATATTTTCTTTTCAACATGAAGCTTATTCAATAGATCGCTTATCTCTTCTTATTTATAATGCTAACCGTTATTTTTTGATTAAATACCATCGCAATCAAGATTGAATCTATATCATCAGTTGTATTTTTCCATTTTTTTAAGGCTAAATATCATTAAAAACTCCTTAACTTTGGACAATTATCAGAAAATGGCTCTAAACTTTCAAAATATTAAATTTAAGGAACACTTTCTAGCATTCAGAAAATGTAAAACTTCCTGGATTGAGATGAATATGAATATGGATAATTATCCAACTTCATTAGTATTTAATGAGGTCTAATCAGGTGCCCTTAGGGCACTCTTCTTTACCATTTCAAGTGGACAATCTAGTTACTTGAGAAATATTTTGAGCAACTTACTGATTCTTTGAAATCTTTAGAGGGAGCTATTGTTATGTCAGTTATGTTGATGTGTTCTGTATTTCCTTGAGTACATCAAATTTGATATTTTCGCTTGTTTCCAGATATTGATGAATGCAAAGAAAAGACTGCTTGCCAATGTCCGGACTGCAAATGCAAGAACACATGGGGAAGTTATGAGTGCAGGTGCCGGAGTAATCAGTTATACATGAGAGAGCATGATGCATGCATAAGTGAGTAGCCTTTCATCGTCCATCATCTGGTCAAAACGAAACCTTTCTTTTCCTCTTATCATATAACTTTTGGATCTATTTAATTTTCTTTGATTTTGTTTTGGTATATTCTATTGCAGGTAAGGAGGGATCGTCAAAGGTCAGCTGGAGCTTTTTGTGGGTTATGTTCATCGGTCTTTTTGCAGCTGGACTTGGAGGATATGCTGTCTATAAGTACAGAATTCGGGTATAAATGCTTTCTCCGCGATATTATCACCTTTTTTTCCTTTCCTCGTTTTCCTTTTTTATTTATACTTACAGGATGTGCTTTCAGGACTCAACTCACAACATTCATTACTACTTGAATATTTGTAAAAACACTGAAACTGTTGCAAAATCCTCAAATCTGTACTCTCTGTGTCCAAACAATCATCGAAAGATCAATCCTGAGCTCTTGCTAACTCCTCCTCTTCGAAAACTCATAATGTCGATACCCTACCTCACCTCCCTAATTACTCGTAAAGCGACTGTGTTCTCTGGCTGTGCAGTTACTTTAATTTTTGTTTCTTTGCAGAGTTACATGGACTCGGAGATTCGCGCCATTATGGCTCAGTACATGCCATTAGACAACGAAGCAGAGAGCGCTAGTCAAATCCAACTACACGAAGACATCTGAGACTTGTAATCATCACAATCGTAGTTCTTATCATTTGCTTCTTAGTGAGCTTACATGAAATTTTTATGTAAATTTGTGAGCTCATAAATCTTTCCTATGTTTATCGGTTAGACGTGCTAGGATAATGAGTCATATATGTTAAATTTCAATTTCATTCTCGTATGAGAATTATTGACTTCTCGTTCTAAACTCCATGCATGTTTGAGTTGTGAATGATGCAAAGTTCTGTTCTTGGGTGATGAGAGTGTGTTTTCAAGTAGTGATGCTGTGTTGTAGGATTGTGCATGATGGTTAATTATGCTTCTCAGAGCCGAATATGGTGAATCAAAAGTTAACAACAAAATCTAAGCAGTGTCATTTGTAAATTCCTGTATGTTTGAAGGGTTTTTTGCATGTATAACCCTCAAACATTCTATATTTGCAAAGTTACCCCGAAAATCTTGGTATTTGCAAAATTACCCTCTAAATTCTTCACATTGGGGTTTTCTACCCCTCTAACCAAACAATATTGGTTTCCAAATAGGGGAATGTCAAAATTTTGCAACAAGTTCCAATATGTTTGTAATATTTTCCGTTTAAAAACCAAAACTGACCAATTGATTGAGTCAAATCAATCTTTCTCCTAACTAATCTACGACAAGCTCTCAGTTGGGAGTCCTAGTCAGCAAGCTCTCAAGAGCTCTCAAGCATTTTAGAATAAAAAATTAAAAAAATAAGCCTTGGGAGGCCCTCCATCTTTTATGGAGCTCCAACAAGCTCCTAGTTAGGAGCTCCAACAATATCAAAAAAAAAACCCTCTTCTATTTTAATATTTTACCTATTACTTTCAATTATATTTAAACCTCTTGTATTTCATTTCTAACCGTTGGATACGGCCTTCGAGGGAGCGCACACGGTCTTCGAGGTAACCCACGGTCTTCGAGGGAACGCATACGGTTTTCGAGGTAACCCGCGGTCTTCGAGGTTGGGCACGAAGTTCGAGGTATCGCAAACTTTGACCGTCAACCGACTTATTCCTATAAAATTCGATGGCTTCTCTCCTCAACCCATCATCTCCCAGAACAAAATATCTAGCTCATCTAGCTCTAGCGATGATGAAATGATGAAGACGTTCTTTCTTATTGGAGCTGTTGTCGTTGAGGAAGAAGAACAAGAGAAATGTTCAACTTCGGTTCAACACAAAAGACGTATCGTGCTCCATCGAAACCGACTGGAAGGCCACAATCAGTTGTTCCAAGATTATTTTGCTGACGCACCAACCTATCCTCTTCATTATTTTCATCAAAGATTCAGAATGACGCGTTCGTTATTCCTTCGAATCCACGACGCAGTCGTCGAATATGACAAGTACTTCGTCCAAAAGAGGAATGGTGCTGGATAATTAGGACTATCTAGTCTTCAAAAGATTACTGTAGCTATGCGGATGCTCGCATATGGAGCATCCGCTGACTCCGTTGACGACTACGTTCGGATCGGTAAAAGTACGTCGCTTGAGAGCGTGAAGAGGTTCGTTCGATCGATTATCAACATCTTTGGAGAGGAATACCTTTGTTCATCGACTAATGAAGACGTTGCACGCCTGCTCGAGGAAGGTTCACAATGAGGTTTTCCTGGTATGCTTGGGAGCATCGACTGCATGCAGTGGACATGGAAGAACTGTCCAACTGCCTGGCAAGGTATGTATACTGGGCATTTTCATGAACCTATAATTATTTTGGAGGCCGTAGCTAGTAAAGATCTTTGGATATGGCATGCCTTCTTTGGACTGTCGGGGTCTCACAATGACCTCAATGTTCTACATCGTTCACCAGTTTTCGCACAACTTGCGGAGGGAAGAGCTTTACAGTGCAACTATACTGTCAATGGACATGAGTACAATATAGGATACTATCTCGCCGACGGGATTTATCCAGAGTGGTCCACATTTGTGAACACTATTCCAGCACCTCGAGGAAACAAGCATAAGTACTTTGCTCAACAACAAGAAAGCACAAGAAATATGTTGAGCGAGCTTTTGGCGTGTTGCAAGCTCGATTTGCGATTGTTCGTGGATCAGGACGTTTCTGGTAACCTTGTGTGCTGAAAGACATCATGACAGCTTGCATCATAATGCATAACATGATCGTTGAAGATTAACGAGATTGTCAATTGGACAACAACTTCGACTTTACTGATTCGGTACCAGTCATTGAACCTTCTCATGTGCAGACGGTGCCTCTAACTGAGTTCATCCAAAATCATCATTGGATCAGGAACACGCAAACACATAAATCACTAAAAAATGATTTGATCGAGCATCTGTGGCAGCTCAAGGGATCCATCGACGAGGATTAAGTTTCTTTATGTCTAATGTAATTTCAGAAAAGGAGTTCAAGTTGTTGTACTACACCAATTTTATTTTTAATAAAGTAGTTGTTTTCATTCAATGCCAAAATTTTCAACTTCAAGTACAATCATAAATCTAATACAATATAATATTTGATAATTAGGAAGAACTAATAAGGATGCGATGCGAGTACAATGTATGATAATTAGGAAGAACCCTTAGACATCCGCCTCTCCAATATCTCTGCCTGACGTATTTCAAAGTATTGTCGTTGAACTGAATTGAGTGTTGAGAGATCCATCTTCATGATATCGTCATCTTGTTTTTTCTGTTTTAGCTCTATTTTTTATTGGTGGTTTGCTTCATCCACGCGAAAGCCTCTCCCATGATGGATGTAGCGGACTTAGAGTTTTCCACATTTTGTTTCCTCTTGAGCTTTGCCGCTTTCCTCCCTTCAGGCCTTGCTAACACATCATCCGAGTCAGTGTTCAACTCGATGGGGGTCGCTGGCATGGAATTGTTTGGTGAGGAATCAGAGTTTGTGGTTCTTCTTTTTATTGTAAGTTTCTATTTGTTGGATCCACTTTTGATGATGACGCAACTCAACCCAACAATGGTCAAACACGAATGGTTTACCATAAAGAGATTGGTATAATTCTTTTACTTCTGCAGTCTACACAAGAGTTAAATTTAGAATAATCAAACATAATTAAACATATATATTCCTCTCTTCAATGCTATGTTGTTTACATAAAAACATATAAGTTAAATATTTACTTGGTCAATAATTCTCGTACCAGATCTTTGTCTTCCTTCAATCTGAGCAACGCACCCGTAGAACTTGTTGACGAATAGTTGAATCGTTAACCAACGATGCATCATTTGGTTTGGTGTACGGTTCGTTGGATCGGTGGAGTATTGGATAAAGTAGTCGTTAGCTCTGTGCCAAAACTTATCTTTGTGTTGCCCCGTATCTTGGATGGCGTCTTGGCTCGTGTTCAGCCAAGCAGACACAAGAAGCTTATCCTCGTGGACAGTCCAATTTTCGGACCGCGTGTAAGCCTTCTTCTTCTTTGTGGTCGGTGTTTCTTGGGATGACACTTGTTGTGTTGCCGATTGCGAGAATTCGATAGGGTTACCTTCTTCTACGACTTCTGTATAGAACGGCGGGTATAAGGTCGATCCTTCACCGGTAAGAAGTTGCGAATAATAGTTTTGGGAGGGATCCATGAGATTTGTAATTTGATAGGGAAATATAGAGTTTTTTATGAGAGAGTTGTGTGGAATGATTTGTGTATTGAAGTTTGAGAATTTATAGATGATTTTTTACTGTTCATGCCATTTTTTTAATCCCAACGGCTAAATTTCCCAACAGCTGAATTTTTCACCTCAACGGTACATTTGCAACTTAACTTTTCACCTCAACGGTACATTTTCAACTCAACAGGTATTATTTCATTAAAAAAACAACAAACCCCAAATAAAAACAACTCAACAATATATTATTTCAACTCAACAGGTACATGATGAGTATCAGCTCAAACAACCCACCCAATTAAAAAAAAACAAAAGAGAGATCTTCATCCTCTCCCTTCGACAGACCCAACCCCACCCCAAATAAAAAAACAACAAACCCAACCCCAAATCCTCTCCATCGACGACGGCGACGGCGGCGGCATGCAGAGGCCAGTCGGAGGCCTCTTCACCGCCATCATCTCCGGCGTCGGCATCGTCGCCATCATCGCCGGCACCCCAATCGGAGGCCTCTTCGCTGCCAGAATCATCCCTTCAGTTCAACAAATTGGTCTTGAGCTTTTTTGAGGGGGGTTTTGTAAATATTTTTGGCAGTGAGGGGGGGAGGTTGTAAAATTTTTTGGTAGTTGGGAGCTCCCAAGCGCTCCACAAATTTGTGGAGCGCTTGGGAGCTCCGATGGCTGCAACAGCCACGTCGGCCTTGAGATCCATCTTGGGAGCGAACAAGGAGGTTGTTGGAGGGTATGCAGCAGGCTTCCACTGCCACGTCAGCCTTGAGAGCTCTCTTACGAGCTTGTTGCCCTTGCTCTTAGGACCTCAGCCAAACATTTGTTTACTTATTAGAAGTGAAAAAATGGAGCTTTTCGAACTGCCAGATTCGGTATAGTCGATGTCAAATGGGTGGTTTTTGGTTGGGTCTTGGTTGGGTCATAAATGGGTGGGCACATTTATGACCACTTGACCATTTATGACCCATTTAACATTTACTAAATGGGTCAGTTCTCAACCACTCATTTACTAAATGGGTGGTTCATGGGTGACCCAATAACCAATTTAGTTATGATTATGATGCTTCTATATACATGTAAGTTTCAGGGATCTACTTGTAAAGTTTCAGGGGTTTTGGCAAACTTTCAGGGGGGTTTTCTGTAAACTTTTAGGGGGTTTTCTGTAAACTTTCAGGGGGTTTTCTGTAAACTTTTAGGGGGGTTTTTTGCAAACTTTTGGGGATTTTCTGCAAACTTTCAGAGGGTTTTTTTATAAACTTTTAGGGGTTTTTTTGTAAACTTTCAGGGGGTTTTCTACAAACTTTTAGGGGTTTTATGTAAACTTTTAGGGGGTTTTCTACAAACTTTTAGTGGGTTTTCTGCAAACTTACAGGGGGTTTTCTGTAAACTTTCAGGGGTTTTCTGCAAACTTTCAGGGGGTTTTCTACAAATTTTTAGGGTTTTATGTAAACTTTCAGGGGGTTTTTTTTATAAATTTTTAGGGTTTTTTTTAAAATTTTTAGGGGTTTTCTACAAACTTTCAGGGGGTTTTCTGTAAATATTTCTTTCTCAATTGAATCGACTACTTGAAAAAATTAGGACAGAATTGTGAGCAAAAGAAGCAAATGATGACGGGACTGAGCAAAAAAAGAGATGGACTCGTAACAAGTCTAGTCTACTGCATGCTCGATTATTTAAAAAAAGCCCTTACTTTGGTCATATGTCAAAATTTTCAGAATACTGGAGTACCCTCAACATTTAATTCAGTTCTTCTTCATCTTAGGGTCAAATTAGGACAGAGCAAAGAAATAACAAAATATCTTCAGAAAACCCACCTTGCACGGTTTACAAAACCACACTACCTAACAGCTCTATTTGATAAAAACATCCTAACTAAATTTGGCTCTAAAAACCCACGCACCACACATTCCATAAAAAAAAATCCTAACTAAATCTTTTTACCGTCTAAATTTGTCAACAAAATGTGGTAAAAATATCACGTCCCACTCCGAGGATCTTAAAAATCCTGCACCTCCTTAGCCTTGCGTGAACTGCTTTGAGAGAGATTGTGTTTTTCTTTTCTTTGTTCAAAATCCATGAGTCATGAGCGTAATTGTTCATTTCTTCATATTTGTTGTTGATTAAAGTCTATTATTTTTTTCATGTTTGTTCTTAATTACAGAGTGTCCCTAAGTAATTCTCCTTGAAATTTTTTTATCACGCCGGATAACAATACACGGTCTCTTTCTCTCATGTTTCTCGCACAATAGACGCAAGTTTTGCAAATTACACTTGGCCGCACATGCATATATCTCCTGCCGACGAAGAATTGTGAGCGCTTACTTTTTATATTTATATATCATTGAGGGTGTTTTTTATAATTTTTAAAAGTTTGAGGGTGTTACTTGCAAATTTGATATTTATAGGGGACTACCGAAATTTTTTTAGATTTCATGTGTCATTTGCAAGTTTAGAAAATTCTAAGATTGTTTTGTAGTTTTGAACTCTTGAGGGTACTTTTTGCAATTTTTAAACTTTGTGGGTGCTTTTTGTAAATTATAAATTTACAGGGGGCTGCTAGTAATTTTTGGATTTCGTGTGTCATTTGTAGGTTTTAAAATTTCAGGATGATTTTATAATTCTAAACTATGGAGGGTGTTTTTCTAAAAATTTAAAACTTTGAGGGTGTTAATTGCAAATTTAAAATTTATAGGGGACTATTGAAATTTTTTAGATTTCATATGTCATTTGCAAGCTTAGAAAACTCTAAGATTGTTTGGTAATTTTAAAGTCTTGAGGGTGTTTTTCTCATTTTTTACAACTTTTAAGGGTATTTTTTATAAATTATGAAATTTTAGGGGGCTGTTGGTAATTTTTGAATTTCATGTGTCATCTGTGAGGTTAGAAAATTTTGATAGTTTTTTTTATAATTTTTAACTCTTGAGGGCGTTTTTATAATATTTTAAACTTTGAGGGTATTTTTTGTAAATCTCAAAATTTTAAGGGGTTGTTAGTCATTTTAAGTGTTTTCTATAATTTTTAACTTTTAAAAATAAGTTTTGTAATTGTTGAAGCGTTGAGGGTGTTTTTAAAACAATATCCATCTAAACGGGTAAATGAGTGGGTAATAACCCGCCCATTAATAACTCATTTATCTTTAATAAAAACTATACTCACCCATTTATGACCCATTTAACTAAATGAGTGGGTTTAGATGGTTCATTTGGCGGGTGGGTATGGGTGGGCAATTGGTCTTGGGTCCATTTTGCCATCCCTAGGTATAGATGTATAGTTCCATGGATAATTTACCTTTCTTTGACGCTGCAGCTATCAATTGATCAAGACAGCATTAACTTCCCATTAATTTAATGTCTACGTGCATTGGCTTCACATGCTGAATTTAAACGTTGTTGTCAAATTAACAATTGATCGGATCACTTTATTCCACCATTGTGGTCCCGTAGACTTATTATACCTTATGTTCCTCTCGCTTGAAGCAAAGCATGTGGAGTGCGT